CCCCAACACATACACCCACCCACACACACACACAGACACACACAAACCCCACCCCTCCTACCCCAACACACACACACATACACACACACACACACACACACACCCACACACACACAAACCCCACCCCCACCCCCACCTCCCTGTAGGTCGTTGTCCTGTGCGTATGTACTGAAATCTGACCTCGCGATAGGCCTCTAAAGTTGCGAGCCTTATGTGACTGTACATCCATTAGAATTACAAAGTTGTATCAGATGGGTTTTTTTTTTTTGCCGTTTTGAGTTACAAAAACCTTAAGGTTAGATCTGCTTCATCAAAATCGTAAGATTACTCAAGAGTCGTCATCAAGGTTTTCAAAGAATTGCATGCGAAAACGCTTGACATGTTCTGAAACTCCAAATTTATAGCGTCCAATAATTTCTCAAAACTGGGTACTGAGCAGATAAAACTTTGTAGTTCTAGAGTAGCGGTCCGTCTCTATACAACTATACCTTTGTATGCGGATACGCTTTCTGCGTCGGCCTGCTTCTTTTCCTTCTTCACTGTTTATACTTGTCTATTCTTACTTCGTTTCCGTTTTGTAATTGTTTTTTTTTCTCCCTCGGCCCCCTTTACGGTTAGGTTTGAGGGTGGGGTGGGACGGGTATGGGGGTGGGGGAAGAGGAAGTGAGGGGGGTTGGTTGAATGGTTGAATAGGGTGGCGATGGGATTCTGCCAGCCCAGATCTTATCAGCCTGACCATCAATGCATTTAACAATTTAAGAACGTAACGGAATTTAATATAAATATGTATATTATATAATTATGTATAGTTTTTTTCAAATTTTATTTTGGTGCCGTTAGTGTTTTACGACGCTAATTAAACGGCATAACGTCATATGAGCGCGCGGGACACGCCATTTTCAGTTCGTAGGAAAATTTGAATTTTGCACGGGTGGCTGCCGAAGCCCACTTTTATCGATTTTGGACCACTAAGGGATCTTTGACGTGCGCAACTTGCACACGGGACCTCCGAGATTTTTCGCCCTTGTCCGAGAAAGCTAGGTGTAGATCTTTCTAACCATAAGATCAGGGATGTGCCTGAAAGATACCAGTAAAGAGCCAAGGAAAAGCAGTAGAAAGGCTGCAGAAAGAGTCAGGAGCCCAGAGGGAGATGTAAATCTTCCGTTGCTATCCGGATTCGAACCCGGTACCTATTGAATGAGAGGCGAACACCTTAACCTCTTGGCCCTTTTCAGGCCAACTTAAGAGGTTCCGTCAGGTTTATTTTGAGAAAATCGCAAGTAAAGTTTTTGCCCCTTTTTCAGTTTCTTTAAAAGACAAGGAGATTTTTCTCTATAACCAAACAAACATAGACACCAATTAAACCAAACTTCTCCTATAGGTAGAAAAATGCCCACTTTTGGTGTAAGTCAAGATTTCTGGAAACCCCCGAAATCTGGGTTAGCCTGCTTGTGTGCTTAAAAGCGACCAATAATTATTGATCTGACCATTAGACCACCTACGCCCCAGCAGTTGTAACTGAGTGTGTTACACCCCCCCTTCTACTCTCTTCCTCAGAACAGACATGGAGGAAGGCGACCCTCTTTGACCTGTCACCCCTTGAATGACCCTGGCGTTTTCTCTTCCTGCTCTACTGTAACCTCGACCTTGACAAACTAGTTCCTCCCTGAGTGCTCAGTCTCTCCCCCCCCCCTTATACACCCACACCCACACCCTGCATATGCCAACGGCACGCCCCCCACTCAACCACCCCCTGCAGTACGCCCGTGAACGAGATCTCTCTCATACGTCCGACATTGCTGGCAACAGAACAATGACCACCGGCCACACAGACCAGTCGTCTTTGCTGTCTTCATCGTCATCGTCATCGTCATCATCGTCCATGTCATCGTCATCATCGTCCATGTCATCGTCGAGTAGCGGTTTATCGCCACTAGTGACGTCAGCACAGAAGAATGGCACTGAGCACAGCAGAAACAGTACAGGAGTGACGGGGGCGGTGACGAAAGGACCAGCAGGTGAGAACGGGTTTGTGGTGGGTTGGTGGGTTGTTTAAGTGAGAGGGGGGAGGGAGAGAGAGGGAGGGAGAGAGAGAGAGAGAGAGAGAGA